GCAAGCACAGGAATTATGGCAAGCTTTTGGAGTCGAGTGCTTTTCCAGGCTTGTGTTTGATGTGCAGGTTTGCTCTGCCCCCAGGAGCGAGGCAAGACAGGCTTGGCCTAGGGTTTAAGGCAGTAGGCAACTTTCAGTCCCAAAGGGAGTGGGGAGAGGAGGCGGCCATGGTGGTAATGGTTACCCATGGTGGACAGTGTTGGCTGGAGCTTCCTAACTTATACAAGCCTGGAAGCAGGAGCGGCATCCACTTCCAAAATGGCTTGCCTCCGGAAACTCTGTGTACGAACAGTGCTCAGGCCTTTTGTTCATAGCGTTGCTATGAGTCATCTACAACTCAATGGAACCTAACAACAATAACAACGATGACAGAGAGAGCTACATTGGCCTAGTGGAAAGAAAGTTATGCTATAAGCCGAAGGTGGGTGATTTTAATCTGCAGCCCTCAGACTGGGTTCAATTTGTTTTCCTGCCAAACATTCTTCTAGGTGGTATAGCACTGGTCTGTGCATTGCTGTACAGAAGTAACTCATGGTGCTGTGATGCTGAACACTGTGACAATGGTGTGCCAAATGTGGTAATGGGTATCCATGGTGGACAGACAGTGTTGGCTGGAGCTCCCTGACTAAAACAAGCCTGGAAGCAGGAGCGGCCTCCACTTCCAAAATGGCTTGCCTCCGGAAACTCTGTGTACGAGCAGTGCTCAGGCCTTTCGTTCATAGGGTTCCTATGAGTTGTCTGCGACTTGAAGGCACCTAACAACAACAACAACATGAGTCATCTACAATTCAAAGGCAGTTAACAACAATAATATAACATATTTAAATATTGCAACTTGTGGCATAGATTTCTTTTTCAGTTCATTTAACTTGACAAATTCTGAGTGAGTTCTTTACTTTTTATTCTCTTAATTCTAGGGTTGGTTGGGTTGTTGTTTTTTTTACTTTTCTTTAGAATACTTTTATTTTTATTTGCATGCATATAATTTCATAATATGGATCATGATATACAGTTGATTTTGTCCAGTTTTAGTTTGAGAATGTGAGAATGACAAGATATGGATCAGAATGGCTTATGCTTCATTATATTGCCAATTCATTTTTAAAAATAAATTTTATTTTAGTTTTGATTTTTGAAAATGAGATTTTAATGAAAGCTTTTAAAAAACCTAGATTTCATTCATTCATTCATTGTTGTGCATTTTCTCCCCTGTTCCCCCGCCCCAGTTCATTTTTTCTTTGGATAAAAAATTCTTTCATTGTTATACAATACCCATCTTCCCCCCAACCACTTTACTATGAAGCTCTTATACTTGATTCTTGTTATGCCGATAATCATATATTCCTTTTATACAGTTCTCTCCCTTGTCTGTTTCAATGCTGTGTACATTACTTATCCCTTCTTTTCTTCGTTTCCCTCCAACACCCTTGTCAGTCCTTATGCAATATTTGACCTTTTGTGACTGAGATATTTCATTCAGCATGATGTCCTCCATGGTTACCCATTTTGTCTATTTAATGAGTTCTTCGATTTTCAGTGCTGTATAATATTCCACTGTATGAATATACCATAGCTTTTTTATCCATTATTTTGTTGATAGACACTTGGGTTGTTTCCAAATCTTTGCTATTGTGAACAAAGCAGCAATAAACATTGGTGTTCGTATATCTGCTTGAGCAGTTCTGGTTTCTTTAGGGTACATTTCCAGTAGTGGAATTGCTGGCTCAAAAGCTCTTTCTATTTCCAAATTTTTGAGAAAGTGCCATACAGCCTTCCATAGTGGTTGCACCATTTTACACTCCCACCTACAGTGAATAAGAGTTCCAGTTTCTCCACAAACTTACCAACATTTTTTGTTTGCTGTTCTATTAAATTTTGCTATTCTTACTGGGGTGAGATGACATCTCATATTTGTTTTGATTTGCATCTCTCATAGAGCTAGATATTTTGAACATTTCTTCAAGTGTTTGTTGATAATCTGAATCTCTTCTTTGGTGAAGTATCTTTTCAAATCCTGTGCCTACTTTGTGACTGGATTATGTGCATTTATTTATCCCGTTGTGGTACTTGAGTATTCTATATGTTCTAGATACAAGTCCTTTATCAGTTATGCCATTACCAAATATTTTCCCAAGGCTGTGACTTCCCTTTTGACCCCGTTGTAGAGGGGTTTGGATATGCATAGGGATTTGATTCTTAGAAGGTCCCATTCAGCTATCTTATCCGTTTCTGGTTGTAGATTTTTCAGGATGCATGGAAGACTGTTCATGTTTCGGATTAGTGCTTCTGGGATTCTTCCAAGCTTTTCTCTAATACAAATTATAGTCCTTGTTTTTTGTGCTAGGTCCTTGATCCACTTTGAGTTGGTTTTTGTGTATGGTGTGAGGGGTGGGTCTTATTTGAGTTTTCTCCAGATGGTTTTTCAGTTTTAACAACACCATTGGTTTAAAAGGCTGTCATCTTCCCACTTAACTGAATTCATCTCCTTGTCAAATTCACTTGACCATAGGTAGATGGGCTTCTTTTTGAATTCTAAATTCTATTCCATTGATCTATATGTCTTTCATTGTACCAGTACCACACTGTCTTTACCAGTGAGTTTACTTCTACCTTGTTTCTCTTTTTTGTGAGTGCTTTGCTTACTTGCGGTCTCTTTCCATTCCAAACGAAAGTGGAGATAGCTTTTCCATCTCATTGAAGGACAGAATTGGTATTTGTGTTGGGATTGCATGGAACATGTAGATTCCCTTTGGTAAGATTGTCATTTACACAATATTGGGTCTTCCTATCCAAGTTCAAGGTGTATTCTTCCATTTCTCCAGGTCTCTTTTTGTTTTCTGTAGCAATTTTTTTTTTATTATTGGACAGATCTTTTATTTCTAACTTTTTTAAAAACTTAATTTTTAATTTCAATGAAAATTTACAAAGACTTTAGATTTCCATTCAGTCATTTTTGCACTTTTCTCCCCTCCCAGCCCTCCCCCCTAGTACACTACCCTCTTGGAAAAGTAAAAGAAAACTTCTTTCATTATTTTCCAGTCCCTCCCCCCAGGTCCACTCCACTATGCAGCCTTCATTCTGGACTGACATCATGACAAAAATACCTGATCACATATCCCTTTTAAACCGTTTTCTCCTCATCTCTTTCAATGCAGTATATTGAACCCATCTTTCTCAGTTTCCCCCCAACCCCAAGGTCAGTCCTGTTTTACAACAGTGGCACCATACAGTATTTCTCTTTTTGTGACTGAGATACTTCACTCACCATAATGTCCTCCAGGGTCACCCATTTTGAATAATATTGCATGAGTTTGTTTTTCAGTGCAGCATAGTATTCCATTGTGTGAATATACCACAGTTTCTCTATCCATTTGTTTGTTGATGACTTTCAGAGAAAGTAAATCACATAGGAGGTGATGGTCCATCCGTAGTTAAATTGTCATTTGTAGTTAAATATCATACTGATGAACTCCCTCCTAGCATGCTAAAATTTCCATGACTAGCCTCTCGTTATAAATCACTATGCCTAGCACAATCCCAGTGTTCACATATATTAATGAAAATATCTGGCATTGGGTGCTTTATAGGCTCCTCTATACACTAATCACCTAATAGATTTATGTTCTTTCCGCACCTGGGCACTGCAAACCTAGGAAGGAGGTATTACATCTTTTATTAAGATAGGGAAAACTGCCACACACATAGTTTGATCAAATTGTCCAGATAATTTTGCTTGTAAATGAATGAACTAAGTCTTGTTTCCAGATCATTCAGATTCTAGAGCTTTTCATTTTCCCAGAAAGAGCTACAATTTTGTGCCCTCTCTTTGTATGAGAGTCAGCTTGGTATAAAGCAAGATTTGTTTGTGATAATCACTGAGCTTTATAGTTAATATGCATTGCCTTTGAATCTCAGGTGCTTCTCTTTGTTAAGAATTTCTAAGCCGTTATTTCCATCAAATACTGTTTTTTTTCTTCCTCCAAAGGAGATGAAGACTTTATCAGATGAAAGCTCACATCAAATATGATTAATACTTAGTTTCATCTTATTGTAATTGAGTAAGAATTGACCAAAACCCTACACTCCACTGGGTTTCCAAGGCTGAAAATCTCTTGAGAGGAGCTTTTGTTGTTGTTGTTATGGGCCATTGAGTTAAGACTGATCCATACCTGACCCTCCAGTGGGTTTTCAGAGGCAGTAAATGGCAATGGAGAACAGTGCCCATCTTTCTCCCGTAGAGCTGCTGGCGGGATTGAACTGCATGCTTTCGGAATTGCAGCACAGCTTCTTAACACTAAGCCACCAGAACTACCTCATGGAAGGAGACTACTCAACTTTCTCTCATAGAACGCCTGGTGGATTCTAACCATCAGAGATGTGTGGACTTTGGCTTAGCAGCACAACTCCCTATGGACTATGTCACCAGAGCTAGTATCTCAATAATTTGGAAATCAAGATATATGTTAATTTATTAACCATCATTATTTATATTTTAATTTATGTATTAATATGTAATTAATAACTATATAAAAAGTTACCTCTTTAGGGATGTGCACATTCCAAAAGAATTTCTGGCCAAGGTAATATATCCCTCAGAAAGCCTGCATGAGTGTCTGGTGTTGGCTGATATTTTAGTGTCAGGAAATACATGGAGGGAATCCAGGGATCACAAGTGGTGCCTTACTGCCTACATAGAATGTTGGTTCTAATCTTGTAATATTTAAATCCTTGGTACATTTTCTATTGCTTTACTAAATTGGTACACTTTTTTCCCTGTGTCTTGATTTAGCTATTAAAGTTGAAATAATGCATACAGTTTGAATAAAGCAAGCCTTATATAGCTATACTCATTTGTTATTCTCACATAGCTTTTTCCTGTTTTCATTAGTTTCGTTTTTAATAATTTATTATGTAACTGCTAGATATTTAATATGAGCTCTTATTTTGAAGATTAATTTTTAAAAAATGTAACGTGTGATAAATCTCTTGTTCTCTTATAGGCACTGTCGAAGCGTTCTCCTCTTTGGAGTGTGAAGTAATATGGGAGCCAAGTTTCAGTTCTCCAGAGAAAGAAGAATTTGTACTTCATGTTCATGAAGGAAACACATTGACATTAAAATGTGTTGTACATGTAATTATGACCTTTAAATATTATTTTTGTTTGAAGAGTTATAAGATGGTTAATTAAACATGTGTGTGTATATACATGCATACATACATGAATGTAGTATTATTAAATGTTCTTTTGCATACAATAATTGTCTTCAAATCCTCATGAAGCCACATTCCTATTATAAATGAATACTTTGCTTAGATATGTATTGTGTTATCTAGTTATCTTAAATAACTAAGAAATTCAAGACCTGTGCCAATAGTACTACCTTGTTGTTACAGCATCTTTATATATGTAATATTATCAAGCAACCACTTGAAATAGAATTATTTTAGAAATAGAAGCCAGAGAAAAATAGTAAATAGTCTTCTTTAATGTAGCAAATTGCTATTATTCTAACACTACCAATTCAATGTATAAAATCACTTATGTAAGTTTCAAAGCAACAGAATAGATAAAAATCTTGGTTTAGTTGTTGTTGTTGTTGTTGTTAGGTGCCAACAAGTTGAGTATGACTCATAGTGACCCTGTAAACAGTAGATCTGAATCCTGTCCAGTCCTCTGCCATCATCATCTCTGATACCCTGGAACTCACTGCAGCAGTTGCTATGTCAAACCATCAGTTTGAGGGTCTTCCTACCAATTGACATATTTCAGCTAACAGATGCTTCCCTGGACGTGCTCACCAAGTTGTGCCAAGAAATCTGGAGAACAACCACTTGGCCGACTGACTGGAGGAGATCTATATTTGTTCCCATTCCAAAGAAAGGTGACCCAACAGAGTGTGGAAACTACAGAACAATATCACTGATTTCGCATGCAAGCAAGATTCTGCTGAAGATTATCCAAAAACGACTGGAACAGAACATCAGCAGAGAACGGCCAGAAGTCCTGGCTGGGTTTAGAAGGGGTCGTGGTACTAGGGATATTGTCGCTAATGTTAGATGGATCTTGGCAGAAGGCAGGGAGTACCAGAGGAATGTCTATCTGTGTTTCATTGATTATGCAAAGGTGTTTGACTGTGTGGACCATAACAAACTGTGACTGACTCTGAGAAGAATGGGAATCCCAGAACACTTGATCGTGCTAATGTGAAACTTATTCTTGAACCAAGAGGCAGTCGTCAGAAG